GGGTACAAAGAATGGGCTTGTTCAGAGGGATTTTGGCCGCGAATTTGGTCATCGGGTAAGCCCGTTTCGTGCTGACATTCTTGACATTTACGAGGATCACGTTGACGGACCAATTTACGACGGTCCGCCCGTTTTTTATGACAAGCTTCCAGTGCCGGAGACACATAGGGGTGACACTTTGAGCTCCACGTGGGACATCGCCACGGTTGACCCTTCTCCCGTAAAACCATCATTTGGACCCAATTTTCGGGACATCTTAGCCAAAGATGGTTTTTGGGGGCCGAGGATGAATTCCTTGTGGTTTGTTTTCCACTTGTGTATCGTGAAATCTCCCATCAACGGGATGGTGGGCCATTATTATGAATTTGAGCGCGGCGACTGTTGTGGTATGTTTGATGTTTATTCTACTTTACGGGATATGTGTATGGAGGCATGTACGTGTGCCTTTGCATTAGCTCATTTCTTGCCCACGCTTATGTTTACCTTCGATGTGGTTGGGCGTTCTTCAAGCTTCGTGTTTGATCGAGGACGAAGCGGGACACACTTCTCCAACGGGCACGGGTCGGATTCGAGGGCGAATCCTGCTCAACCGGGGGAGAATGATGCAGAAGAAATATAAGTATTATTATTATTATTATTATTATTATTATTATTATTATTATTATTATTATTATTATTATTATTATTATTATTTAATAATTAGTAGTAGCTTAGGGAATAAGCTGAGTTTAGGGTTACAGGTTTATTTAAAGGACTCTCATCTTTTGTGTTAAGCAGTTGAAGTTGAGAATGAAATAGAAATTGATATCGTGAGTTTGCGTGTTTTACGAGAGAGTATCTCGTTTACTCGTTTTATCCTTCTCATTCGTACGCTTCCCCTACATCAGTTGGTATCAGAGCCAACCCATGTGCCAGCGGTGACCCTGGGCCCAGCAAGGGGGGGTGGATGATGCAGCGCATCCCACATCGGGTTTGAAAGGAAACGAAGCAGGCCTTATATGAGGATGTGGATACCTTCACTAGTAAGACGCGTTTTGGTGGGTGTGTATTGAAGCCCAGCCAAGAACAAAGCCGTGCGGGTGGCGGAAGTAGCCCAAAGCGGACAATATCTTACTAGGGTCTGCATCAACAACACTTTCTACAAGTCGGAAAATTTTGTTCCAATCTAATCATAAACACGACGTGATCGAGCTTAGAGCTGTAAACGAGTCGAGTCGAGCCGAGCCGAGCCGAGCTCGAGCTTAGGATGCTCAAGCGGAACTCGAGTCGAGTCGAGCCAGGCTCGTTTAATTTAACATCACTAATCGAGCTATAAGTCAGAGGAAAAATTGCAAGTGTTGACCATTTTTGGCCACCCCTTTTTTTCAAATGTAATAAAAATGGTCCTCTCCTGTCATTTTGCAAATTTGGTCCCTTTTTCTATCAATTTGGCAATTTTGTTGCAATTTTAGGACAAATCACAAGTGCATTGAAGTTTTCGAGTGAAATCAAGATAAAGTGCGTGACATTAAAAGCTTTCGTTAGGAAGTGCAAAACAGGTTTCGTTTGCCTGTGCTTCGACATGGCCAACCATGTCGATTATGACGGGCTTTTTCCTGCTAAAGATCACAGAAGAATAGTAGCATCTGAAACAATATAGGAAAAACAATCATTCCTGTAAGACACCGTTTTAAGTACAGATTTATCATCTAAAAATCAGCCCTAACGCGATACAACTTAATCACGTAGAACAATAACAACAAACCTAAAAAGGAACATTAGCAATTGTGTCGGGACACTGTCATTTACGGAAAAACAAAAGGACAAGAATAAAAAAAATGAAAGGCTTAGTTTTACAAGAGGATTTGCAGGCATTTTTAGTACATTGATTTCAGTTACATGAATAATAGCTATGCATTAGGTATAATGGTATTCAAGTCCGTTGCCTCACCCTTCTGCCACCTGTATCACCACCATCAGATAGCTGAGCCCACACACTTCTCAACTTGCCGCCACTACTGTTGCAGTCTTCATCACAGCCGGCCACTGTCTTCAAAAGCTCCGACTGTAGGGCCGGGCAATTCTCCTTCAGATACTCAAAACCATCCGAACGCATAACAGCTGCAAATGGAAATGTGTCATACAGCGTCAAAACAACATTGTTGGGCTCTGCAAATATTTATTGTTAGATTTTGAGAAATAAAAATCAAAACTGAGATACCTGCGGTCTGCGTAACATAAAATAGAACCAATTGAAAATATTGTGGTTTCGTACCAAGCATCAGACTATAACATTCGTTTATTCAGTTAACCCTTTTGTAGTGGTGAAAAATATTGGAAATAGAGGTGTTTGACTCAGCTTATAAGCTCTTCAAAACATTTTACAATGTTCTTTAGAGCTTCTAAAGCTACGTAAATGCATTTGTTGATCTTTTTCAAAAAAAAAAACTCCTATGATATCCAAGAGATGTTATGGTCGGTCATTCAACCTGAAAGAATATAATGGATTATAACTTACTTGTAAATTAGAAACCGCTTCACAAGTTAGAACTATTGACTGGTATAAAAATCAGCACAACACAAGAAATGCAGCAGAGAATTTAAAATGACCCCAAATATTTTGTAATTGATGCATGCGGGTAACATTTTAACCAGTGATTCGATACAATATATAGATGCCTATTATTCAATCTTCGGTGGACATCTTTACGTCATGCTACAAGTACCATGTCCGTATGCATTATGGTGCTCCTCTTCGTAGCACAATTACTTCTCATTTGTCATTTTTCCATCAATCAGCTTTGCAAAATTTATCAAAATATGCATATGGCTTGAAAATTACATCACACGATAGACCATAGCATGTAGCATATACAAAATCAAAAAATACAAGGAAACAGAATATATTAAATTAAGATACAGAATAAATTACAAACCAGTATAAAGCATAAAGTTTCCTATTTATACAGCACTGTGAAGGCTCTTGCAAGTGGCTCAAGAGGGAGTTTTCATCCCACCTTAATACTTCAGATACTTTGAAAATTTAGAATTTTCAACTGCTCAATTCTGTTTTTCTCAACTAAAATACAAAGGTTGTTTATTTGGAAAATAACCTTATTTTGATAGGAGGGAGAGAGAATTAAAAAATTTAAATAATCAAATAATAGTGTAACTTAGTTCATGATATTTTGCTACTTTTTTCTGGACACAGAGTTTTACCATGCATCGTCATATCTTTTACTAGTAAGCTATAATTGTTGAAGTATCTTTTCAATAACACCAAGTTCAAAAGTTCGTTGCCCATAGATAAACAAAGGAGTAACAATATCAATAATATTTTTCTTATTCAAAGCACATATTACATTTTGGTTAACACGTGAAGAAGAGACACAAAAGTGGCCAGAAGGCATATACCTGCCAGGTTCTCTGCAGCAAAGCTAAGGCAAATAGCTTTCAATTCTGCAGCATGAAAGCGATCTGCCAAAGCAAGCATATGTGCAACAGAATTTACAGATATATCCTTGCAAAGATGAGATTCACACATCCGTCTCAGTCTTCCCAAATCATAGCGATCAGCTGCTGCGAGCAACTTTGCAGTTAATGTGTCAGTTACCAAAGGGGACGAAGAAGAGCTAGATGCTATCAGTTCATCTTCAACCAAGGCATCTCTATACATAAAATGCAGCATTGCCTGTGACACAAAAGGTGGATAAGACTAAGAATCATTTGACAATATAAAGGATACTATTCCATAACTTGAATTTAACCAAGAAATAATGCGTTTTAAGGAGGTTAGGGCTGTTGAAGCAGATCAAAATGGACTCAACTAACCTTAAAAACTTTAGGTTCCATGTCTGATATTATAATCTCTTGTTCACCGCAATCCGTTTCTTCAAATACTTCAGATCGAAATATAAGGGAACGAGCAGACAACACCAACTTGTGGGCATGGAATCTCTCCCCAGACACATTAAAAATAACATCAGAACCCTCCATATTTTCTAGAAGCATACCAAAATCTGACCCAATATTAGAATCTGGAACCTGAATGGAATGTAATCCCGAACTATCAATAGCAGAAACCACAACCCCAACAGTACAGTTGATCTTCAAGCAATCATCTTTGAGATAATCTGATGTTTCGAGCATCGCTCTCCTGTAAAAACGCTTGTATCCCCTGTAATAATTTAAATAAAATACAGGGTCAAGTTAATGAACAAAATTGGAAGAACACTCTTTCATAAACAAATCAATTTTCCCAACGATAATACATAACGAAATCCTAGTTTTCTCCTTCACCATAAAACCTGAAATCCTAAAAGAACTGATGTAAGTCGGCATTCAGAACCTTCTCTTGCAAATGACAATGTTAAATTATACACATTCTTCCAGACTGACACCTGCTGATCCCACAGCCATTAATTACCAGCTAGGCTCCTCAGCATTGTAACTCAATGTCCAGACATACTTAAAAAGAGTAGATGCCGGCGACAACACATCGCCGTTAAAATTTGTTGATATACATTCATTACAAGCAACTGCTATTAGACTGTGAACAGGAAACCCAAAGGTACCACATATTTGAAA